CACCATGGCACGTCATCGTGGATATTTCTCGTCAACTCATCCATAGCTAAAGCAAAAAGATAAGGACTTAAGGTAGATCCTTGGTGTAACCCTACAGTGATAGGAAATTCATTTGTCTCTCCAGCAGGCAATCTAATAGTGGTCACCACCTCTTCATACATGTCCCTAATCACATCAATGTAACCTTTTGTCACCTCTTTTTTCGCTAACACCTACCATATTATATTTCGGAGCACTCTATCATATGCTTTCTTAAGGTCAATATACACCATATGAATGTCTTTTTTCTTTTCTCTATACTTTTCTATTACTCTCCTCAAAAGATAGATTGCTTCCATTGTTCATAAACCCAAATTAATTCTCTGACACCTCTGTTATATCTCGCTATCGGCGTTCTATCACCTTCTCTCACACATTCATTATATGACATATTAGCTTGATTTCTCTATAGTTGCTACAATTCTAGACATCTCCTTTATTCTTATGCATTGACACTAAAATACTCTTCTTCCACCCATCTGGCATGTTCCTAGTCAACAAAATTTTGTTAACCAACCTAGTCAACCAAGCAACCTTCTTTTTACCCAAACACTTCAAAGCTTCAATAGGGATATCATCTGGTCCTAAAGCCTTATTTGATTTCATCTTCTTAAGTGCAATCTTCACTTCAAAGTTCCTAATCTTGCGATAGAACCTATAGTCTTGGTTTATCGGCCCCGTTTGGTAGAGCTGTGGGAAAGTGATTATAACTTATAGCTTATAACTGTGAACATAAGCTGATTTTTGACTTATAAATTAAGCTTCTCCTCCCCCACTAAAAGAATAAGTTGATTTTTGACTTACAAAAAGTTATAAGCTATATTTTTAAGTTGAACCAAACACATCAAAATAGCTTAAATCAAGCTAAAAGCTGAAATAAGCTAGAAATAAGTTCTACCAAACAGGGCCATCGTATTACTAGTTATTTCTTCTCCTATTGTCGTACCTCCATGTTTCTCATTTAATAGTTTCTCAAAAAAGTTCTTCTATCTTTCCTTACTCTCTTCATCCTTCACCAATACCTTAGAATTTTCACTCTTGATGCACTTAACTTGACTAAAATCTCTTGTTTTCCTCTCCCGTATCTTAGCAAATTTATATACCTTCTTCTCTCCCTCCTTACTATCTAGTCTGGTGTATAGGTCATCATAAGCTTTCAACTTAGACTTTCTCACTACTTTCTTGACCTCCTTATTAGCCAATCTATAGCTCTTAAGATTTTCTTCAGTTCTATCATTTTGCCACTTTTTAAAGCACTCTTTTTTTGCCTTAACTACCGCTTGAATCTCTTCCCTCCACCACCAAGTTTCCCTAGAGCTGGGTCTCGTTCCTTTCGACTCTCCAAGCACTTTTCTTGAGATTCTCCTCATACAATTGCCCATTGAGTTTCACATAGTGTTTGCATCATCTTTCAAGTCCCAAGTACCTTCCTTATCCATTCTATTATTAAATATTTCTAATTTATCTCCTTTTAGGTCCCACCATCTCGTCCTACGACGCTCACCATCCTTCCTAGCTTGGTATTGCCCTCTAAAACATAAATCTTGTATCAAAATCCTATGTTGAGAGGTCAGGCTCTTTCCAGGAATCACCTTACAATCATTACATTTTAGGCAGTCCACTTTTCTCACTAAGAAGTAATCTCTTTGGCTCTTAACTGACCCGCGCTTAACTGACCCACTCTTAAAGGTTATCAAATGCTCCTCCCTCTTCTTATACATAGTATTGGCCACCACTAGGTCAGAAGCTAACGCAAAATATAAGATACTCTCTCCAGCCTCATTTCTCTCACCAAAACCGTATCCACTATGCACCCTTTCATAGTTTAGTTTATCTATGCCTACATGGCCATTAAAATCTTCACCTATAACCAGGTTCTCTCCTACGGGTGTTTCCTGTAAGATCTCATCCATTTGTTCCCAAAGATCCCTCTAAGTCTGAATATCTAATCCTACTTGAGGGGCATATGCACTAATAACATTCACTATATTCCCCCCTTTCCTAATGATCGCCACTCAATTCTCCACAAGACCCTTGGCAATTAAGATTCCTACCCCATTCCTGCGTCTATCCTTACCACTATAATACAGTTTAAAACCGGTATCCTCAATTTCCCTAGCTTTCTCACCCGTCCACTTATTTCAATTTGGGTGAACACTTTTTCTTTCCTTTTTTGAAATTCTTTCATAAGAAAAAATGTATAAATTAAATTAAACTAACACACTTTGACCTTGAGATTTCTGACAATCATAGGAACCTCTCCCATTGTTTTTGAAATGAAATGACATTGAACCCTCTTTTCACAGTTGTTGGGTAGACAGTGTTAACATGTAATAAAATGATAATTTTTGCACTAAAACGTATTCATTATTTTATCACATTTAACCTGTTTTGGTAGAGTTGACTCCGCCTTGACTCGCTAAATTAAAACTCATCATCCTATGTTGTCCTCCTCTGCATTGTGATGCACCCTAACAAACGCCACCACTGACCTACCCATTGCCGTTAGCTACCATGGAATTATTGGCCATTTGAATATCGTTGTCTGAATCATCACAGCAATATACATGCATAGCCTACTATCATCACCACCAAGGGTGGCAGCCTAGCTGGTGGGAGTTCACTCCCACGTGAGTGACACGATTTCTAATCATCGTTGCTCCTGACTTTTGTTCGTTAAGACACTGGTGGGGTTAGGGTCAGGCTAGCTCAAGCTTGTCTTGAGGAAGTGCTTGCGTTCTCCCGTGGGCAGTGCCCCCTCTTTGTTGGGCCCATCTAGGCCACTCTTGTTCAATTTCTCAATGGGTAGGGGCTTCTTTGGTCACGCCCTAGAGGATTGATGGTTGATCTCCTTCTCCTGCCCTTGTGATATCAAGCAAAAAGCCCAGTGTCATCAAAACGACCCACCATGGGCAGCCAGTGTCCATGGTATACCACCATCACATCTCAACCAAAACACATCTCACTATTGCTACTGCTTACACCAACCACCATACCTTAATTTTATCATTATCATCATCTACTTTTGGCCACTGTTTTTTCATCATTTTCAATGCCAGTGATGATTAAAGGGGAAAAATTATATTACAATCCCACCTTGATCATTTCTATCACCATTCTACACAGATTTACCATATCACTTTTGTTTCTGTATCAAAACTTCCACCAATAACCACCACAGGCCACCAACCCCTGCCATTTCTCCCATCCCAACCTACTCTTCAAAATACTTTACTTTTTTTTACCCATTGTTCGTTGTAGAAATTTAATGTATAAAGAGAAATAAAGAATTGTATTATTGATTCATATATTGTTATGTTTACAATAATTCCTATATATAGAAGAGAAGAATAGGTAGTAGGTAGAGTAGGTGAAGTGGGTGGAGTAGGTGTAGTGGAGTAGGTGAAGTGGGTGATAGGTTTTAACATTCGTGGTATGTAACATTTAGCTTGAGTTAGAAAGGAGTGTTTATTCAAATCATCACAATTATGTACATAGATATAAGCATGTGTATATCAAAACGAACTGAAACGGCTTGCCCTTTCACTTTCTACCAAATGAAAGCTTCTACATGTTCTTCATTTTTTAATTTCATGGTCTTTTGAGATTATATTTTTCTTATTTTAAATTTACTGAGGAATCATGTTGGGTTGTCCCTTGCTCTTGCTATGTTGTTGAAAGAAATGAGAAGAGAGATGGAAAGTGGTAGCAGTAAAATTTATGGAAAGGAACGATAAATGAACAACTAGGATAACAGTATTAAAAAATTTGAGTAGAGGAAGGCAATGACACATTATGTCTTCTTCGTTTCTTTAATTTCTGTCGAGGCTACTACTTGTCTTCTTCGTTTCTTTTCATGGGTGTGAGTTTATGAGTTCGTAGTGTAGGTTTGCATGTACCACGTTATGTCTTTTATGATCATTTTCTTGAAAGCACCATAGTGGAAGATCTGACTTCAGAAGAAGATATAGCTAAGGACATGACCTACTAGAACTTGCTGCACAAAATGGACTTTTTGGATCTCTGGCTTCAAGTTGTTGGGATTAGAGCTTTCCTTGTTGAGTTTAATTGAGCTACAACCTGTTTCCCTCTCCCTTTGTTGACATAATGACATTGTCATTTTAAACACTTACAGTTTATGAGTGGTGTTGTTATCACCTGGTGAGCTTTTTTTTACCAACTCCAGATGACCAAATACTCCTGCATTCTTGCCATTTTACCAGATTATTGTTAAATATAGAAATTAGAGTATATAGAATCTTTTTATTTTTAGTATTATGTATATAATCTGTGATTGTGTCAATTATTAATTTAGTATTGTTTCTTTATTTATATCGTTTCCTAAATTGTATCATGAATCTATTATATATATATGGCATCTACCTCATTCATGGGTAAGTCAAATAATTCTTTTCATTCTTTTTGGTATTAGAGTTAGGTTAAGTACCTAGTAATTTTGCTTCATGGGCGGGCGACAATCTTGCCTTGGCCGCCCGCCGGACCTCAACCCATTTTACTGCCATATTTTTTTTCAGTATCACTTTGTGGTGATCTCTTCCTATATCCACTAGTTTATTCCTATCCCAAATATCTCTATCATATTTTTTTTACTTACAATCCATTTTTTTTGTGTGTTTTTGTTCCACTTTGTCTTTTCCTCTATTTTAACCTCAAATAGATTTTTATCTTCAAATCTATTTGAGTTTGAGGGGGGGTATTATACCTATATTATGGTAAGGATGGTGATACACCATGTGAACCACCTAAGCCGCCCCGGCTAGCACATAATCTAAGTCACCCCATTGGCGCACCACCAAAGCCGCCCCCTGGCGCACTTTCTAATAAGCCATCCCTTGGCGCACTCAGTCATTTGTTGCCATTATCATTCAGCACCACGTCATAATTTATATGTGTGCCACGCTTGCTGGTTCATCATCTAATTCTCTATATCGGTTCGGCATGATTCCTTTAAACTATCTCGACATTGATTCCGGTTATTCTTTACAACGGTCTGACATGACCCCTTAAACTGTCCCGACATTGATTCCAGTTAATTCCTACAATGGTCTGGCATGACCCCGTAAACTGTCCTGACATTGGTTCCGATCAGTTCCTACAACAGTCAGCATGACCTTAAACTGTCCCCAACAGTAGTTCCGACTAGTTTCTACAATGGTCCGGCACGACCATAAACTAGCTCCCGACATTAGTTTCAGCCTCTGATGTCGACCAAGGTCTTGTTGGCTGCCGACCAGGGTGTTTCCTAGCCATAGATGCTTTGGCAGCTCTACCAGGGCAGTTCTCTTTCCCCCCTCCCCTCCTTCTAGGATGTGGTGTTGATGTATTAAGCACTTTTTGGTCTTTTTTATTTAGTGGACTACTAGATTTGTTCGGTAGCATTTATTTTAGACTAGTTGTTGTGTTTTTCCCGGCTTCTTCCAGTCATCCATTTGCAAGCTGCGATTATTGAATATCTTCACACCAGCTTGAGAGGAAGTGTTAAATATAGAAATTAGAGTACATAGAATGTTTTTATTTTTAGTATTATGTATATAATCTGTTATTGTGTCAAGCACTGATTTAATATTGTTTCTTTATTTATATCGTTTCCTAAATTGTATCATGAATCTATTATATATACATGGCCTCTACCCCATTCATGGGTAAGCCAAATAATTCTTTTCCCTTCGAAACTTTTCATGATAAGAAATATTCTTTTTTTTGTTTTTGTGCCACCCACAATGTTGTCTTCCTTTTACCAGATATCAATGAAGTGCTTCTGTTTATTTTTCTCATGTATTCAAAAAAAAATTCACATGTTTTTTTTTCTCTTTTAGATTGCAAGAACCTACCCAAAACAAGAACTTACATCCAAGTTCTGCCAAAAGCATTGTAGTCTGATTTAATCCTTGTAATTTCATCTTCTCCTATAGAATCTCACACAACTGTACTTTGTTCTGTCACAATTCAGATCCTAATCTACTGCAGATCCTCCATACAACCACAATACCAATGGCCCGCAAACCAGAAACTCTTCACTTTCGATGTGATCTACCTTCATGACAAGCCTGGACCTGACAATTGTCCCCAGAAGGTTTACGATGCCTTAGTGGATGCTCTTGAACAAGTTACAGAGTACGAGGGTTACATCTTGGAAAGTGGGCAGGGGATGACACGTGTCCTCTTCCGTTACATGTGTATGCTTTTGTCACATCCTCAGCAACGGTGTGTGCAAGACAACATTGATATTCCCAAGTCCCTTGTGAAAAAGTCGCCCACAGTTGACTCTGCACAGGGTGAAGAAAATGTTACTGTTTTGTCCATGCAGTGAGAATATTAACAGTGAAGTCTTCGTTGTACTGGATGATTGGTTTTCATATACCCTAGGTTTATTTTTAAGCAATATGTTGCTGTAATTTTTATCTTTTTTTTCAGTGTGTAAGCCAATGCACCTTCTTTCTGAATGGATAGTGTGCATTTGTTTTTTTGGGTAGTGGAAAATCTGAATGCATTTTCAAATCAGAATACTTTCTACAAAGCTAATGGTATAGAAGGGCTAATTTGCATAGTCATAGCATTCGCTTTTGTTCTATTGAATTGGAAAAGCAATATAAACACCACCTAAGACTGAAAAAGCAAAGGAATGAGTTCGATTCAAGGGATTTTGCAAAATGAATGTACCAAAGTAAAGATAATTGCTGTTAATGGTTTCTTGTATACATATATATATATATATATATATATGTATATATCAGTTTGGCAGCTATGATCATCTGGTAAAGCCATGGAAATCGGTTAATTTCATGTCATCTAGAATTATCTATATATGATTTTAGATAATATATTGTGAAATGTTAGGTTCATATCCAATCTATTTCCAGAGCCTCACATTTTAGCTGCAAAACTGCTAGATTAAACTTACATAATTGACGATTGGGCCCCTTTTTTATTTGAGGCCTAATAAGTAAACAAATTATTTTAGCCCCTACTACAAGGGCCAAATTTTTTGAGAGGCCCTAAGTCTCAGGGTCCTAAGCAGCGGTCTTACCCACCTATGTCTAAGATAGGCGCCGTCTCTATTCCTCCTCAATCCCCATTCAATGAGGACTAAATTGGGTTAACTTTATCTTATGAGTGTAAGGTTGCGTCCATCTTATCTTCGCAGACTTGCATTAGTTAGAATTTCATGCATTTGATCGCTTTTTTCATTGTTTATACATCAATTATGAGACTTCATTTGAATATGCATTTCCTCAAAATCATTAATGCTGTGTTTGGTTGGGGGATTTGGAAATGGAAAGGGAAAAGGTGTGTGAAATTATGTGAAATGTAGATATATTTTATTCACATTTCACCTAACTTTTCCCTTTCCCTTTCCCTTTCCAAATCCCTCCTCAAATCCTCCAACCAAACACAACATAAGAGCTCAGATCATGTATGCCATTGATTAATAACCTGAAAAATCTTCCCCTGTGGAATCCAACAGTAGTAAAGTTGAGAAATAGGTAGTTACCTTTTAACTTTAAAATCTAATTAAAAATATAATTAAGCATGTGGATGCATTATAATACTACATAATTAAAGGATGCTTTTGAAACAACATTGCCCTTTCATGTGAGTCTTTAAGTTTTTTCCTGTTTGTCCAAGGAATCCATTTGACCCACTAACTTTTTACATTACTTTCCTACTAATTAATTGCTTCTTGCATCATTTATCTGCCTAAGGGGCTGTTTGGGAAGCCATAAAACTCAGCTAATAATATATTAATATGATCCAAATGTTTTTTCAACTATTCTTTGGCCAGCCTCACAAAAATTAGAAAAACCCTTGCTTTTAAATGCTCCTAATAACAATTTCACTATGAATTTTTGTTCTTATATTGATCATCTCAAATATGGTTATGGATTCGTGTTCTAAAGTTTAGATAAAGGTGAGTTTCGTAATCAAAATTTAAAAATTTAAAAAAATATATATGCATATCAGATCAGTAAAAAAAAATAAAAAACTAATTACAAATCAGAAGCTGTTAGATACAAATGTTTGATACAACTGATTACAAAAGTTTTATTAATTTGTAATTATTTTTTCTATTTCCCATAAATATTTATATATATCATATTTTCCAATTTTGAAAATCTCTTTTCCAATATGTATTTTCTCAGAAATGATACAGATTCTTTTTTTTTTTACCCCTACAACCCCCATAACTTTTTTTTTTTTTTTTTTTTTTTTTTTTTTTTTTTTTTGACTCCAACAACCCTCGTAAGCATATGACAGCCACAATGCATTGCAAGTGATGGGTCCCAACCTCTTTCCTTATTTCCTAATGACACATCACAAGAAGATCAACCACGTAGAGGGGTGGAACCCACACCAGCCAAAAATGCATAACTAAAGTCAACTTTAACATGAGGTCATAATCACCCAATTTATAAAGAAAGTCCACAGTTTATGTAGGTCAGGATGATTTGATTGACTTTTTACCTCAAAAAATTTATTATTTATTTTTTTTATTTTATTTTTTTGGCTGATGAAGAACCTCTCCAAAGTACACGATAGGAAAAATTAGGGGTGAGTATGGTTCGGATTGGACACCAATCTGTTATCTACGAATCCTGAAAAATTGAAACCTATCCAATCCGTTTAAATCGTAGAACCAATGCGAACCAATCCATTTAAACACGGATTGGATTGGTTTAGGACTACAGATTTACATAATTAAATAACAAAAAAATATATATAACACTTTAATTTCATAAAAATATAAATATAGTACCATATTAGTTTCACAATAGCAATATGTCTTTTTAAAATAGCAACAAACTGTTCTAAAATTTAAACAACCATAAGAAAACTAGTTCCACCATAAGTATTTAGACCATTACAAATTAACACTAAAAACTAGCAAACAAAAGTAATAAAAGAAGATATTATGCAAGTTTAGGTTTGGATTTATGTTTTATATGAAATAAGAGAAGATATTATGCAGGAGGGTGTATAATAAAAATATAGACTATTTGTATACGGTCCGGATCGGTTCCAATCCGGAACCGTGGCATTCAATCCGAAACCAATCCGTGAATTACGGATTTTTAATTTTTCAATCCAGAACCCAACCACGGATTCAAAAAATAAAACCAAACCTACTGGATTAGATCGGATTACGGATTTCACGGATTCTCTGCTCAGCCTTAGGAAAAATCTCGAATACTTGCAAATTATCTGTATAGACTAAGATTAAATGTAACATAAAAACGAGTTAAACCTAAGATTTAAGAATCTATAACAACTACTTAAGATCGGTGAAACATATAGCACAAAAACAGACAAATGCACAAGAAAATAAATCAAATGCATACATGAAGAACATAAAGTTTATGTGGTTCATCTCAAACTAAGATTACGGTCACGACTATTGTAGTTTTCACTATAATCATAAAAATTATAAGAAATAGTCAAATACATAGAAACTAAGGTAACAAGTCACGCGTACAAAAATATGTTACTCCAAAATTAAAATCAGGCGACAAACCTCTCCATCCAAGATCAAATAATTAATATTCAACGCAACATTTACTTAAAGACAAACCTCTTTATCATTGAGCTACTACTGTAGATGTTCTCAAGAAATCTACTTGAGTAACCATTGGTTTTGGCTCCCCTCTCCCAACTTGCTCATGCCTGCCTAAAATACTATTACAACCCCCCTCATGCTTGATTGTTATTAATTTATATTTTGTGAAGGGTTGACAAACTGTTCACATCTTTTGATACCTTTAACAAACCTCCAAAGGGGTCTTAACTTACTGGCATTGCCAAAATTTTAAATCTCATTTCTCTGTAAAGTGCATCGAGTTGGTCATGGTCAACTATCTTGTTGCTTTTGCTCATGCTTTCACTTGAACACATTGCTAACTAGAGCCATTGGCCACACATAGTATTAATATTAAAATCATGATGTTGTAAAACTAGAATGTACCTTTCATACACCTAGTAGGTTGTTCATCATCAGATAGACACATTTAATTAAGAAAATTTTTAATTAGGTTCTATTGGTTGATGTTGAACCCTCGTGCATTTGTTTGTGTTAAAAGTACAAATTCTCTAAATTCACCTATTCAAGAATTGCTTAAAAGTTCACTATATTTCTTATTTTTCATTTTTTAAAAAACACACTTGTTTGGTAAATAATTTCGGAAAAATAACTCACTTTTAGGACATATCAAAATGTTGTTTTTAAATTTTAAACTATTTTCATACAAAAATGAAAATGATAGATGTTTTGAACTTCTCATTGTATTTGTTTTCAAAAATATGAGAGTGAAAACAAAAATCAAAAATAAAATCAAACGGGTCCCACTGGAATTTTTATTTGCACAAGAATTTCTCATTAAATTTAAGACTTTCTCATTAAGTAATGAGAAGTGTGAACATTGTTAGGTTCGTTGTCCACATGTAGAGGCAGGCAGCCCACCAATATGGATAGTTTATGGTGTTCTTCTAAGTTATTACTTGTCCTACATGGCTAGTACACCTCATATGCCCCTTTTAATGAATCTTATGGTTGTCTAAAGTAATACCCAACAAATTAAAAAAACAGTGAATTATTGAAACAAAGGTGTGTCTCACTGAGAGCCACTTCTAATCATAATATCTTATACTTGCATGTACCTCCTTGATTTTTTATTATTATTATTTTTTTTTTTTCCTCACAAAGGTGTTTGGAATTTACCTTAACAAATTCTGGTATATGTAGTTCCCTAATTCCATATATACTAGGTAATTAATGAGCCTCTCTCTCTCTTGAGAACATATAGTTCTCTCGTCTCACATATACTATATAATTATTAAGTTTAGATATTCCGTCCTACATATATCAGGTAATTATAGGATTTCACCCTGAATAATCCTCAGTTAGATGTAGTCACTCCATCAAAAATATATTGGATAATTATTGGGCCTAGGTATTCCCGTCCTACATATAATAGGTAATTATAAGATTTTGTCTCAACTAATTCCAGGAACATGTAGTGCTCTTATCCACGTATACCAGATAACTAACTAGACAAAACCCTAGGAGTAACCTCAAGGAAGAATAAGAAATGAAATATTTAATCATTGACTAGGACAACCTAGTTGGTTTTGGGGCTCCCTGATGTAGTGCTTATATGAGGAGACTATATTCACAAGTTATTGGGATTTAAATAGTAGAACAATAAGAAGAGTTGTATCAGTTGAGAATGGGTATCTGCATATCCATTGCATCTTCAGAAATTCATCAGTCTGAGGATTGCAATGAAAATGTGGTATTCTATGATGAGACTTTTGCTGCTGATGAAAGTCAAAGGCATGGTTCTCTTCATTCTCATCAAGGAAGCAAGTCATCAAACCAAGATGCTGCAATTTTATACCAGGTAAGTATGCTATTAGGTCTTCTCTAATCTGTTTCTGAAAACACAAAAAACAAAAACGAAGAAAACGAATACAATACCAAACAATTAGTTTTCCTGAGAAAACAAAAGATTTTCTGGATTTGCTAAGATTTATAATCATAGGATTTTCCTGAAAACAGTTTTTGTAACAAGTTTTTGCTATCAGTTTTCATTTGTTCTGTTTTGAAAACAGAAAACAGAAAACAGAAAATGAAAACAATACTAAACACTTTACTCCCCTGTTTTTAGCATTAACTTGAAACTTTTTTTCTCTTTCAAGGGCTATGGAACAGAAGATGGAGTTCTATGTGGAGTTTTCGACGGCCATGGAAAGAATGGTCACATAGTAAGCAAGTTGGTCAGAAACCGCTTGCCTTCACTGTTGCTAAACCAAAAGAACACACTCACAAAGATCAATAATACAGTTGGGTATGCTACTAGTTTCCTCAATCAGAGAGTAAATGGTGAAATAGTATCGAACAAAAGTTTTCACATATGGAAAGAGGCTTGTATTAGTGCCTTCAAGGTGATGGACAAGGAGATTAAGCTTCTTGACAGTTTGGACTCCTCTTGCAGTGGAACCACCGCGGTTGTCGTCATCAAACAGGTAAGCGAAACAAGTCTCAACTCACCGTGCTTAGGTTAAGGATCTTTTGTACCCAAATCCTCTATCTGTCTGTCTACACAATCATGTCTTAAAATTCTTGTGTCTTGGTATTCTTATCACATAGTACGGCTAAGTGTGTTGGGGTAGATGGACAACACTCTCAGTTGCATGATCGTGTCTTGAAATTCTCATCACATCACACAGTAACAAATGTATTAGGATAGAGCGACAGAGAGATTTGAATAAAGAGAATCCTATGCTATGTAATTGTGTTTTATTATTATTATTATGGGAAATTTACTTGGAAGATAAATTTTGTGTATCTTGTAATTGTAAAATTGAACAGGGGGAAGATCTGGTAATTGCTAATCTCGGAGACTCAAGAGCAGTGATGGGGACAATCACTGAGGATGGAATACTCAAGGCTGTTCCATTGACCATTGATTTAAAGCCTGGTTTACCAAGTGAGAAATTTTTTTTTTTTTTTTTTTTGAATTATTTACTTTACAAAATGTAGACACTTTTTGACCTTATATTCTAAATCCAAATAATTTCACAAAATCAATGAATTTGACAATAAAGTAATTGAAGTTGTGTTCTGAAAACATACCTTTAAGCAAGTCATGTTATCAAAACACGCCTTCATAAAATAATATATGTTTAAGAAATAACTTTAAATTTGAAAAATAAGTTTAAAATACACAAGGGCATGATAAAAAAATTCACATTTTTCCTTCATGAGATTGTAATACCAAGTCCATTCCCAAAAACTTGTTGCCAAGTTCATAATACACAAACACAAAACAATATGCTTTCTAAAACGTAGTGTGTAATTCAATGGTGAATTGATCAGATCATTTGTCACGCAGTGGAAGCAGATAGGATAAGGAAGAGGAATGGAAGAGTAATGGCAATGAGAGAAGAGCCACACATACAGAGAGTATGGTTGCCCCATGATGACTCCCCAGGCCTCGCCATGTCCAGAGCTTTCGGAGATTTCCTTCTCAAAAACCATGGCATTATCGCTATCCCTGAAGTCTTCTATCTCCAACTCACTTCTCGTGATAGGTTTCTTGTTCTTGCCACTGATGGGGTAAACTCCATTTTCCAGAGATTTTAATTTTAATCACACTTAACACCTTCCAAAAATAGGATGTAGTGTATCATGTCATGTCACGAAAATAGCCTCTCTCCGCATGTGAGGTAAGGCTGCGCGTGACCCTCTTGAAATTCTCCACTGGCGGGAGTATCATGCACTAGGACTGGCCTCTTAATCCATGTTAGACAGCATTTTAAGGCATAAAAGAAAAAAATTCTAAACCCACTTAGTCCCACCCCATTGAGATAGTGGTGTTCGATTTTGTGATCAGATTCTATATGCTTGGAAGAAAAACTGTAGGGCATAACTTCATCTTTAACAAGAAAAAGACAAGACCAATGAGAAAAAATTTTGGTGCATCATGTAACAAAGTTCCAAATCTCCTTATAACACCCCCCTTCTCTCTCTCTCTCTCTCAAAAAAGGACAGTTTGATCCAATAGTAAAGGTATCCCATTAATGTCTTTAAGGCTATATATATCTTGCCCTCTTAAAACTCCACTTTATCAGGAGTTTGGATTCTCAAGCATTGTCTCGCCCTTTTATTTCTTTAAAAAAATAAATGCTATTGTCTTAACTATTTTGTATTGTGGTATTTCAGGTGTGGGATGTGCTGAGCAACAATGAAGTGGCATCCATTGTAGCAGCAGCAGGAACTGAGGCGGCGGCTGCAAGAACAGTGGTAGATGCCGCTGTTTCAGCATGGAGGAGAAAGTTTCCTTTTTCAAAGAGGGATGACTGCACCGCAGTCTGTCTCTTTTTACAGAAAGACGCAAACAACCCTTGCTTGAGATTGAGTCGTTAGCCTCTCATCTTCATATAGATTGTTGAGCACAAACAAATTTTACTTTGAGGCACTTTTTACTCGTTGTAAGATTTGGTGATGTTGCCTACGCCTCTAATAATATTTCCCAAGAGGCTTTTTTTTAATCATGGCTAACAATGGAAGAAATTTGAAAAGAAGAACGAGCTAACGCTCTATCCATGTGTGAACCAGAGAAAAAATTCTGGAGTTTACTGTTACAATAGTGAAGGTTGTGGTCTCGATCCTTGGATGGAAATTGAATTGAGTGTTTGATACATGTGATAGTTTGTAAATAATCAGGATTGATCACAGAAAGGGTTGTATGGAGCATGAATGCTTAGAAAAGTGAATTAAAAAGCTTTCACAACTAATCCACGAATGAATTGTTTTAATGCAGATAAAGAAATGGTGCCACACTGGCTTAATTTCCTGTATTTAATATAGCATTTGAAATTATTCTTACGAATGATTATCAATGAAAATAGTCCGCAAAGTATTGTAATTTAAAATTTTTAATCAGAGAATTGACCAATCAACGACTGTTCTTAAAAATCCAAAACATATTGCTACAAGACACTAATACACCATAAGGACAACTTGCTATGAGATAGCTTCCCTTTGATCCAACTTTTTAATCAAACACTAAAACACACTTGAACCATTCCAACAAATCGTGCTGTGTTTAATTGTATCAATGCTAGCGCATTCGCTATTTTTCAACATTAGTTTAATTCAAAATTATATCAAATAAAATACATAATTTAGTGTAGCAAAATTTAATGCCACACTTGCCACCATTACAAAGTGCCAAACTTGCCAGCTCAACATTGACAATATAATATAATTTGACATTTCTATTTAATTGTATGAATTCATTTCTCAAAATTCTCCAATTCCTCTCATCAATCAGGACATACATGACAGACACATCCACAAAATCAAGAGTAACCCAAAGCCTCAATTTCTCAGACCCAGAAACAATGAAAAAAACAAAAAGCCTCAATTCAATTCGATGGGATTCTTAAATAAGAACCAACCATATATGTACTAACTAACAAAAACCAGTTTCTCCTTTTCTTTCTGATTTTTCATTTCATTTATTTTCTTCCCCCTACCCTTTATGCTTTGTTTGGAGAATAGATTTATGTAGAGATTTGTTGATGGAAAAAGTGAAGGAAAAAAAAAATTCTACTTCATTCACTTTTCCCTTCATTTTTCTTTTCTCTCCTCAAATCCTTTCACTAATCCAAAGTTCCAAACACAAGCACCTCCTTTCTTGTAGAATAGGCAAAATATGTCTTCTATTACCTTGGTAGCTGAGAAAGAGAATGCTGGAAAGGAATTTAAATTGGAGAACCAAAAATTCACAAAACTGTTCGAACCGCAGAAACATGCAGTTCTTCCCAGATCAGGTTGATTTGTCGTTTGGATCCTCCTCTCCAATCAAATCGTCGTAAGTAACAGGTACCCTCATTCTATCATGAACAGATGCACGTTTCCTCTCAGCATCGGACTGCTCAAGTTGGTTTTGCACATGAGGTTCTACTAGTTGTGACCCATCTGAAGTGCTGGCTGTCATCTGATCCAGGCATGCATTATCCATCCTTTCAGAAGCATCTTTCTTGTTCTGTACTTGGCCTTGACAGATGTTTTGTTGCCTGAATTGCTTCTGCAAAGCGGCAAATAACACGACACAACACAACACAACACAACAGTTAATTACCCAAAACTTCCAAGCGAAGGAACATAGAACAGCATTACAGTTCCACAAGAAGCAAATTGCATCAAACAGCATGAGGCATCAAGCTGTGTGAAGCAATAGTAGCCACGATTGGGCATAAAAACAGCAAAACAAACTTGAACCAAACACAGCATTTTGAAGGCCTGAAAGACACCGGCAGAACGTTCACTACATAAAGGAAGTAACTTTTTTCCCCTTTCAGGTTAGGAGGTTACTTCAAGAGATCTTAGTATCTCATCATATCTATACATGATCTACAATTTAAAGTGATATATGAGATTATAGGATGAATACCTAATTACTGAAAATCATTTCTTTCAATTTGAAAACCATGACTTCTGTTTCAATGGAACACTAGCACAGGAGGGACAGTATCAATCTGTTGTATAATGCAAAATGACTATCAAACGAATGAAGTCTGGAAGATTAAATATGCGTATGCATGTATGCATTTGAAATATGGAAAAGCAAAAGCGGTAAAGGTGCATAGCAGATGCAGATAAAGTATCGTAACACACCTCAAACTCCCTCCCCTTCTTCATTATCTCTCTATAGGCATTTGGGTCTCGTGCTTTCAGGACACTCCATAGTATGCCACCACCATATCTAAAGCGTTTTCCATCCGCAGTTTTCTGACCTCCACAAGCTTGAATTGCATCCACCTGCAACTTCCACATTCATTATAAATCCAATAGCAAAATGGAAACTAACTGAAGATAATAAAAAATTACTATAAACAAATGCACTGGGAGTTTTTATTATTTAGGTAAATAACATAAATTGCACAGAAAAAATATAACATATAAACGACCGGTATGCAAAGCATAAAACTGTCGTGAACATTTTTTTGTCTAGCTTATTCTTCCACAATAAGCCGTCATTAATGTAAAATTAACAATAAGTAACATATTTCTATTGTATAAAAATATGTACACAGACATATCAAAAAAGAAGTTGATATCAGCATGCAGTGAAATATAATATGCTGCTGTGTCCCTGCCATGTCCATGTCCCAACATTTCTAGAAAGCACTGTCTCGATGTCTCTCTGTCATTTCATCTTCCATGAAACTTAGCAGTGAATGAACATGAGGATAAAACAAATTAAACGAGAGAGAGAGAGACAAAAAACCCACCTAACAGGCCAATTTCACAGACCCTCCACCACTCAACAAATAAATTAGTCACTAAGGGTTTAAAATTAGCATCTCAAATCAATTCTTAAATAGATTCTTTAAGATTCCATTTCTAATATATGTTTAAACGTTAATTACTTCTGTTATTCTTTTGAAGAACAGACATGGTGGCTGAATTCTTCATCAGATACGGGGGAGTTATATTCCTTTTTCTTTTACACAGGAATTAATATAGATGTATGTCCTTTTACATAGGATTGTGTCTATATGTGCATACCAAGTTTTAAAACTGCAAAAGAGGCCAAACCAATTGACATCAACCTATACCAATAGGAAACAACGAAGTAATTCAGCAAGGAGAGATATATCAGCTTAGAGATCCACAAAGACTGGAAGCAATGGAATGGCTTCTGGAACATACATCTGCGAGGGTACGGAAACAATATTGAGTATCAGAATATAAGAAAGCCAGTACATCCTTAAATAGAGTGCATTAACACTGTTAGCTCTATGCTTTTCCAGAATCAATAATTGCGACACTAATCCTCACCTTTTGCGCAAAAACCAAATGGATCTCCATGGCCCCTAACCAAACCAAAGGGTACATTGTTTCTAAAACCTCCAATTAGGGCTTGATAGAAGAGGGAACGGATCACAAGGGAATAACATCTCTTCGAGTACTCACAGAGCAACTTTAAGCCAACTCACTGAATAACTCACTAGGTCAAGACTAGCAGTGACAACAGACTGAGGATGTTCATCAAGGAACAGATAAAAGCAAAATCTACAATTTCAAAAACAAGAACAGGAATTTTGATGAAGAAGAGTTTGCAGAACACCCAAGTCCACCTTAAAAGTAAAGCAATGTAAAAAAGAGACTCCCATAAATGCATATCATGCATGCACGAAGGCAAACAAAAGCATCTAACAAAAACAATTAACACAAATGACCAAATAAATATTTGAAACCATTCAACAATCTGCAATGGGGCACTGAGATTTATTTTACAGAACAAAACCATAACGCAGATGGTATGGTATCTTGGCATTAAACAATAGCCTTGGCACACATAATTGAAAAGGTATACTACACTTTGCACCCCTATACTTTACCTCAAATCAGAATTCAGTCCTAGTAATTTCAATTGTGACATTCAAAACCCTACACAAGCTGCAATGTCACCCTTCCATAAGGGTTGTTTCGAATACTTGACGGAATTTAGTATACAACTTATGGGCTCTAATAAGCATGTGAAAATCCAAGTAGAATAGTTGCGCATTCTGGAGCCATGCAGAGATGAGTACTGTACCATTAAACTAAGATCACTAGCACAACACATTTTTTATAGCAGACAACTTAGCACCCAACAAGTCAGTGGGAATTTGTTGTAACATCGAAAAATCATGAAGCCCTAAAACCATTGTTATTCACATGGTTACTGCATGAACACATATATATTATATACATGCTGTTTGTTCATGAATTTCATGCAGAAAATGTCACACCTAATACCCTATTAGTTATTGAGCTACCAATTTTTGCAATTTGCATTAAATCGATTATGTGAGTCAAATGTACAAGTTAGAAAATATTTAATGTGAACCTTTTTGCCAGCTCTCACCTAACAATAAATTATGTGATAATAATTATGATTCTGGAATCTGGATAGCTTGACTGCTTAATCACTATTTCATGCACAAAATGTCATATCAAATTTTACAAGTTAAAGTTACAATGATGACTCTGCATCATGTAAAACCCATTATTTCTGCATATTTACCAATGACTTCAGATCTTACAACCACTACTATACAACACTATGTTACATGCAATGGAAATGATACCTCTTTGACGAGATCACTCAAAGCAGATACACCCAGGCAACCAACAGCATTGTACACCAGATACGTTTTTCTCTCTCGCAAGTGTTTACAAACATCTAAAACAAACCTGCAAATTACATAAAAATAAATACATTCAGTTCCAAAACACAAGCTTATTTCCTTTCAAAGTAGAATACATGGTATAAAGACCAAAAATGATGCTTTCTTTGGCTAAGCAACAAAATATTTATTTATTTATTTTCTTCCTGTTCTTTCTGAAAAGCAAAAGCAACAGAATATTTCAACAATAAATACAAATAATCAATGAAAATGAAAAAAGAGTTACAAAGAAATTTTCTATGGGGAGGTATGAAGGAGGAATTCAAAGTCCATCTTGTGGATTGGAAAACAATGTGCTCCGCTATGGATTATGGTGGATTGGGAATTCACCATTTTCACCACTTTAATCAAGCTGTACTAAGGGTAGTGGTTGTGGAGATATGTGGAGGAAGGGCAATGGTGGAAAAAAAGCCATTGATTGCAAATTTGGTGTAGATTAGAGAGGATGGGTGTCCATAGGTAGGTGAACTGTATCGGGTAGGTTTTTGGAGATGCATGATGTATGGTGCAAAGATATTCCTCTGTAGGTAGCATGGAAGGTTGGGCCTAAGGTGGTAGGAGTGGGGCTATCTGGAAAGATTTTGCAAGGGACCACTAGAGGTGGAAGAGAGAGTTGGGGCAACCTTGGGGAGAGGTAGCAATGGTAGAGAGAGATCTACTAAGCTTGTTGAAAGAGATGGCTGATCGTGTTTAATAGCATAGTTCTTTGATGGAAGTGACACTTAATGTAGAAAAAGAGAAGACTTGCTAAGATAGTTCACAAATGTGCACACAAAGACCAATTGATTACATCAATAAGGGATATGACTTCAATCAAGATGCTAAACATACACGGAAGACAAAAAAATATATAACTCATAAAATGACTTGTGATTTTAGCTTTGGATTGGCCTTAAATAAAAAAACAAAAGTTAATAATCCAGCCCCAACTAGTTCATAAATGCTTTGTTGAGTAGTGAAAGTGATGAAGTTCAACTTTAAATCGACTCCGCTCAAGAAATTTCTATTAATTTCTTATGTTCATGAATAAGACTAGTGCAGAATTCTTTCATCAAGAAAACATCATAATATATGACAGCTTAGGTTTCCAAAGTAAAATCTCCCCTCTAAAAAGGACAATATTTCATAAATTCCTGAGTAAGATTATTCTAATGTCTATTGTATTGAAAGACCAAGGATTAAATATATTAAACAATAAAAAGAAAACTACTTTTTCTTCATGATTATAGCAAGGAAAATACTTCACGGAACAATAACCTGTTAATATCTGTCACATTTGGCCCTGAATTGCCTTTCTTTTTTTTGTTCTTCTTCTTCTTACTCTTAGGTTTGTGATTCTTAACTCTAGGTTCTTGGTTTATTGCATTAACATCACCACCAATGGTTTGTCGTGATTCAGTCTGTGAATCCTGCTCCACTAACTCTCCTTCTTCTATATCCATCATCTCAACATCTTGGACGTCTTCCAAGTTATCCTCATCGAATATCGCATCTAATATGCTCTCTCCTCTCTCCATGTAACCAGATAAACTGCAATGGATTCAAAGGTTCCAGTCAATTATAATTATATAATGTTCAAATAAATTAACAAAAGTGAAAAGCATAAATATCTACAATCTATTTTAAACCCAGTACGATATATGATTATAAAATATAAAAAAAAAACAAAAACATAATTGCTCAAAACCTTTGCTATGGTATGCTAAAGGCTAAAGGTAATTATGTATTTATATAGAGATTCTCAGTGAACAAAGTATTGCACTGCAACTAAATCTGTGAATCGACTATTTCAAAATTAGGTGGAAAATGTTGGCATGGTTTGGTTACAGAATGGAAATAGTATCTGGCTGCATAAGAAATTTGGAATATAATACAATCCAAACTTCAAGGCGTGTGCTCTCCATATCCATAACTACCAAGAATAATTAATAAAAGCAACCAAAAAAATTAGAAATTTGACGCACAAAAAATATGGGCGGAAATATGACCTAGGGTATCTCTAAATGCACATAACAACATTAAAACTAACAGAAACCATACATAAAGGCCAAGTTCAGGATAAGATCCCTTTGTTGTCCCACAAAATCAATGGCGGAAGTTACCTATCAATTTTGTTTTTTTATTGTTTTTGCGGAATGTCATTTTCAGCCTTCTTCAATGTTAGTTTCACCATGGAACAACTTGAATTGCATATGGCAACAATACCCAGAACAACAGATTCTGGAATAAGAACTGTTTACAGTTGCCGACAAATAGAATTGTTGTATGCAAAGTTTTAAAAGGCTTTACTGAGGCTCATCATGAGGCAAGGCTAAGGCAAAACACCTCAAGGATTTGATTTTTAGGCTTTACTCCCCAAAGGCTGACAGTCTGAGACATGCACTTTAAGTACATCTTGTACGCCTTTTACACATAAGCATATGAACAGTTTGTCTTAGATTCTTGTTAAACTTAGTCAAATAGATGGTTTAAACATAAAAAAGTAAAAAATAAAAAAGATCCCCTTTCGCAGCTATATTCTATAAGAAAAATTAAGTAAATGACCAATCAAGAAAAAACACAAAGTTAATACTCGGTGAGAAGCTCAATCACTAAAGCTAAGAATATCAATGTCACTTTCAAAAGAGCAAAGCTTTCTTCTCTGCAGTGAGTCTTGAGCAGAAACCACAAGTACCTATACACTACCTAATACATTTTTCTAGGAGAAAACAACTAAAATGATTTTTAAAAAATGGATAGTTGAAATTTTATTTTTATCGATTAAATGCAATTTTCCATTTAGGATTCAATTTAAAATCCTAAAAGATGTGAAATGGGGATCGACAGTGAAGCACTTTACATGGTTGAATGGACAGACAGAGACAAAATTTAGTTGAAGTGGCATCAGTAACATATTTAAGAGGCCAAAAATGTAATTTATCACCCCAAAAATAAGATTAGATTTTATAAGAATGATATGATAAGGAGTTCTTTTTATATTCAATTATTTTTTCTTTTCTTTTCTTTTTTTGGATTGCCAACAAGGATTTTGCATATGCATCTCACGTGGCACATTGCCAATGCACACACCAATGTTCAAAAATATCAAAATCACATAAAAAAAATTGTAATTTTGAAATCGTAGATGATGTGTTCATGAAAGCTTGTATCACAAACCTTTAAAACGGGTATTTTGCAACGTAGAACAAAGATTAACAGAGCATACAGTTAGGTGATTTTCCTTGATGATTATTTTGTGACATATTGTGAAGCCAAACCAATGATCATATAGCACATAGTCTCAGACTCTGTAGAATGAAACTCAACATATGAGCCTATTTTGTGACAGAATATGAAACAAAACCAAACTTCATCAAACAAAATCTGAGCCTCTGTACAATGAAATTCAATGAGAAAATCGTGTAATACAATGATCCTATTAGCTTAATTTTAGTTTTGGGTTAGCTTTCTAGTGAAAAAACTCTCATTTCAACTCTGTGGACTAAAGTTATGAAACACATATACATATATACATATACTTTAGGTATATCGTATATATACGTGTACAGAGTGTGTGCAAGTGAGATAGAGAAAAGGGACTTACCGCAAGAGAGAGAGACGGTGGCGCTCGGCGGAGACGGTGGTGGATTGTAGAGGCGGTGGGTGGCGACGGGTCCGCGATGGTTACAGCTAGAGTGAGAGACACAGAGAGAGTAGGGCACCAATCGAATTATGGAAGATGAATAAATACGGGACCTTTTTCTTAAAACGATGTCGTTTTATCCAATATTTTCATAACAGGGTGAAAATACTTGCTTGCTTTTTATTTTTCAAAAATACTTTCAAAAAATTTTACTTTTTTGTTTTCTATTTTTTTTTTTACTGAATTTTTAAAATATTTTTAGAAATTTTTTAAATTTTTAGACACACTTAACATAAATACATATAAAAAATATAATTTTTGTGAAAAAAGGCTTTTAAAAATTCATTAAATACCAAAAATAAAAATAAAAAATACAAGAATTCAATACATTTTCATATTTTTATGTATTTATTGATTTTTAAAGATTTTTTTTAACAAATTTTTTACTTTTTAAATATATCTAAGTAAGATGAATCTAAAAAAATAAAAATAAAAAAATACTTAAAATTTTAAAAATATTCACTAAAAGAAAAACACAAAAAACAAAAAACTCAATTTTCAAAATACTTAACCCAAAAAATTCAAACCAAACACACATCATTTTTCTTTCCCAAAATTTTATATTGAAAAATGATAGTATATAAATATTGTTATATTATTGGACTTAAAAAGTAAATTTAATTTTTTATCTTAAATAATAATACTCTTTTATATTAATCATATATCCTTTTTTATAGGGGAAATTCTAGTCTACACCCAACTTAAAAATGACGTATCATATACTCCTCTAATTATGTCATTTTTTAATAATGATCAATTTTACTCTTTAATTATCTGTTATGAGATTTTTAGTTATATATCATGTTCTTTTTTATTATAACATCTTCTTTTTTTTAAATTATGACTCTAAAAATATAGACATATAATTTTTTAAAATTATAAAATGTATATAATACATGCCTTTTTGAAGAATGCATACAAACTTTCTCTTTTAATAGATCTGCATGAGAGGGGATTTCAAAATGGGCTTGGCTATCTTTCGGTCTCAGATCGGTTTAGAGAGTACTGTTGAGTCTGTGAGGACCCATCATAGGTCTGGTTTCGATAATACAAACCATTCAATGCATAGAACCCGTCGAGTACTATATGCTTGTAAAAAATCGCGTTGATCGGATATCGATAACTATCTAATCGGATCAGTTTTTTATCAATTATTTATTTTCTCACCTTTTTTTTATACAAATCTGATTTGATCACTTAACTATCGATATTTGATCAACGTAATTTTTTACAGACATATAGTACTCAATGAATTCTACACATTGAACGACTCAGATTATTAAAATGGGACCCGTGGTGAGTCTTTACAAGCTCAACAACACTTTGTAGTCTAATTTGAGACAGAAGGGAAACTAGTCTCTTTCAAAATTTTGCAGGTGACTATCAATTTTATAGGTGACTGTCAATTTTATAATTTTTAACTCTTAATTAACAATTTCACGAATTACCGTAAAAAAAACGTCAACGAAAATTTTTGTAACTATGGATCGAAATAAAAGTAGTGTTTGGTTTAATTTTAGAATCATAAATTGATAATAGAATTATATTTTGAATTTGTAAGTTGTTAAATCATGATTTGAAAAGAAAAAATTAATTTAGTTATGAGTTTTGAATTGAATTTTGAATTTTTGAAATGAGTTTAAAAATAAGAAAAGTTGTTTGGTTATTTTCAAAACTTAATTCAAAAACTTATAACTCATAATCAAACATACAACTTAAAATTTTATTGAAAATTCTATTCAAAGTTCATAATCAAACTCTTTTTAAAATTTAATTCAAAAAAATAATTTTTTTATTTAAAAAATTTTACAAATTCCCAAATTTTTTTTATTTAAAATATTAAAAATATATATTTATTTTTGTTAAAAAAATTCAGCTAGTGCTTTAAAATTAATTTTGATTGTATATTTGGATGGAAAAAATAATAATTGTTTTTTTAAAAATGGTCTAAAAAAATAATTTCTATATTTTAAAAATATCAAAAAAAAATATAAATTTTTTGTTGTCAAATAACAAGTTGCAATTGTAGCAAAAAAAAAAAATGGTCAACCGGACGATCAATCGGCCGGACTTTCGGGGATGTCAAGGTGAACGATCGGGTAGACCTAATCCTCAAATTCAAAATTTAAAAACTCGTCTGCCAAACATGCATTGGAATGTATATTCAAATGTGACATTGAAATTAATTTTTAAAAACTTAAATCAAGAATAACATTCAAATATAAGAGTGAAATTATGATTTGAATCTTAAACCAAATAGAAAATGTTTTACATCAATAATGGTGGTATGCTTGTAAGTTTTTGAAAAATGCTTGCACCTTTTTTTTGGAGCCCCGTAATCCCTTTATCCCAACCATTGATGTATATGTGGGATTCACTCATGTATGTGTAGAGTTCATACCATTAATAATTGAGATCCAAATGGGGTTGTGGGGATCTCCATAAAAAGATAGATCTCAATCATTGTTGTAAATTTTTGTTAAAAAAACCTATTCTACACGTGGCAATGATAAGTGAAAATTAAATATATATATATATATATATAAACTTGAACAAGCTTTGTTTAAGTGAAGGTTTCTGTCCTGTTTTGTGATGCTGTGTTTGTAGGGAAGCTATAGATTCATGCTTTATTCCAATTTATACGTATGCAAAGCTAGACTTCTCGCCCCCGTAGCACTACGATCCAATCTCAACACGATCTCAAATTTGTTTTGTTGACCTTCTCGATTAAACAAAGACCAATAAAAAAAAACTATACACATATACAATTACATACAATTATTCAAAAGTGTTTTACTGCTCACTCCTGCATTGTTATATGACACACTTAAGACCATCTCTAATCTAAATTTAAATTTTTTATCAAATTTACATTTGATAAAAATTTAGTGAAAATAATATTTCAATTGTTTCATCAAATTGATATTAAAAGGAGCTTTACTTTTTATTAAATTAAACGAGCATTTAACCTTTTATCAATTGAATGGAAGACCAGTCAGACAATCGGATGGATGACCGGATTGAAAAAAAAATAAAAAAAAATTTACATTAGGCCAGATGACCACCTGGTCATCTTTCCGGTCATTCTCCCGATCGATCGATTGTTTGACAAAATTAAAAATTTAATGTTGAAAGGCTTGGTATCAAATAAAACTTTTAATATTAATCTTTGCTTGATGAAAAAAAAAAAAAAAAGAACTAGTGTTGGAGATACTATAAATAAGGCACCTTAGACTCATCCTATGAAATATAAATAGGATATATATATATATTAAGATTTGCCTTCTCTCATATTTACAATCTAACTTAAGAGAGTATTTGGATTTAGTAAACCTATTGTCAGATCAATCTCGATGATCCAAACCGTTCACTTTTAGTACTCATTGAGAAGAATATTTATGTAAAAAATAAAGATGATTGGACTTTAATAGCTATATATTTGAATCACATTTATCTTAAAAATATAGACGGTAAATATAATTTTAAGAATAACCGTTTATTTTTTAAAAGCAAATGTGATTCAAACATATAGTTACCGAAATCAAATCATCTTAATTTGACATGAATATTATTTTCAATGAATTCTAAAAAATGAACTGTTTGAATCATCGAGATTGTGCTTACAATAGATGCCCAAATGTTTTCTTAAATTGGATTGTGAACATGAGAAAAGTCTTATATATATTGATATATTGTTGTTCATTTATGTATATTTTTGTTTTTTATTTTACAGTTAACTTTTGTATTCATAACAAAATTAACAAAATTATACTCTACAAGTAGGGATAGCCCCAAACCATATAGCAATATGTAACGAAAAGTTTGTTAATTCAAACCCTCCTCAACACGAAGGTAGCGAAGATTATAACAAATTAAAATTTTAGAGACTAAAATTTATAGATAAAATTATTTTTTAAAAATGAAATATCTTAATTGTTAAAAGTGTCATTTTTTTAGCAACAAAATTGAACATTTAGTTATGAATTACTATTTTTTAGAACTAAAAATTGTTTTAAAAAAGAAAACATTTAGGACAAAACTATTTTATTTTTAAAGTACATTTATTAGTGACATTTTTAAAATGTTGCAATTAAAGGTCATATTTTTACTTTTTGAGATGATTTTTTAGTGACGACATAAATTGATCTCTTAATTTTTTTATAACAAAATTTTTATTTTAAAAAATAAAAAAATTTAATCCCTACAACCCTTATTGTTTGCCATTTTTTGTTATATGTAAAAATGGAATGTCCATTCACAGGCTTTCTGTTCATATTGGTAAAATAGTCCAAATTGAATTTTTATTTTATTGAAGTTTCTCCAAATACTCTAAACTCTAACCTTCTCAGCACACTATGGTTGGAAATTAACGAGGTTTTAAAATCATTTTCATAACAGTCACAAATGCAAAACCATGTTAGTCCTCTAAAGGCTATTTTTAGAAGACCAAAAAAAAAAATGGTTTTCGGCTTTTTTTTTAAGTCAAAAGCCAACTTATTTGAGCAAAAAATTATTTAGCAAGTTGGAAATAAACTAACTTTCAAAATTATGAAAATACCTTTTTGTGTATGAAAGAGTACTAGGGTTAAGTTGTAATTTCACATAATTTCATGAGGGTAACATGGTCAATCTACCTGTTTCCCTATTGATGTGACAGGGTGCCTCTATTTACACACCACATTTCATCTCAAGGCACACCTTTAGTAATTTGATAAATACAAAATTTGTTCAATACACACCACAATTTTCCATCTTTACCCTTACTCACACACTCTACCCGCATCTTCCATATTCACCCTCACTTACTCACACACCCCATCCATGAACTTCCCCTTCATTCTCTATTTCATCAAAGATGCCAGTGGTGAAGACCTATTCTCTGTTTCATCAAAGACATTGGTGGAAACAACTCCACATCGGAGATACAGTAGGTAAGAAATCTCATTTTGCTTAGATTTGAGGGTTTTATGTACGTTTTTCCATTGCCATTAGTATTGTATATGAATGTTTGATTTTG